AAAATCGCTACAAACGAGCTAAAAAACATATGCAATTTCCATATAATCTTTAACAGAGTATTTCGCGATATCTATTAATTTGCCTAGAAAATTCTGCCTAACCATAAAATTTGCCTGGAAAATTTGTCATAACCTCAATTATGAATTTGTTTATTCTTTGGAAACCTGAGTATTATCAATGCCAAATTATTTAAAAATGTCTATAGAATATACTACATCTTTCATTTTCTTCACATTTATAAAACTGTTTAAAATATTCTCCCTAACCCCAAAATTGAGAAATCCAAAATTCCTACAAGCAAAGCTAAAAAACATATCAAATCTCCAGTTAATTTTTAACAGAGTATTTGGATAACTCCCCACAACTTTAATTTTCGCGATATCTATTAATCTACCCAAACAATTCTACCTAACCTTAAAATAAAGACTGTGAAAGGCTGACTTAATGTGATGGAATATGAATTAAAAATTACTCGAGTATATTTGACAGTTTTTATCTTAAATTTATCAATTCATTTGCCTGGAAAATTCGTCATAACATCAAATATACATTTTTTTATTCTTTGGAAATCTAAGTCTAATCAATGCTAAATTATTTAAAAATGACTAGAGAATGCGTTGTAACTTTTATTTTTATTATATCTATACAATTTTAAAAAAAATTCTCCCTAACATCAAAATTGAAAATACCAAAATCCCTACAAACAAGCTAAAAACATATCCAATTTCTAGTTAATCTTTAATAGAGTATTTAGCAAACTTCCCACATCCTTAATTTTCTCTATATCTAATAATTTTTCCAGAAAATTTTTCCTAACCTTAAAATTAAGACAAGGAAAATGTTTGAGTACATGGTTTAATTTGATGGCACATGAATTAGAAATCACTCGATTATATTTGTCAACTTTTATCTTCACATTATCAATTCATTTGCCCGGAAAATTCGTCATAACCTCAAATAAAAAATTTTGTATTCTTTATAAACGCGAGTCTAATCAATGCTAAATAATTTAAAAATGTCTTGAGAATGCGTTATAACTTTTACTTTAATATAACTTTTTATAACTTTTACTTTATAAAATTTTTTAAAAAAAATTCTCCATAACCTCAAAATTGAAAATCTCTGTAAAAAAAGCTAAAACCAGTAATAATTTTTAAAAACTCTTTACCAGAATAATTTGATAGCATGCAACATTTAATTTCCTCAGAGTGTATTAATTTGCCAAAAAAATTCAACCTAACCTCAAAATTAACAACGTTAAAATATTTACGTACATGGTTTAAATTAATTCCAGATGTATTAAAAATAAATGTCAACTGTTATTTTTACATTATCTATCCTTTTGCTCCGAAAATTCGACCTAACCTCAAAAATAATATATTGAAAATTTGTAGTTACGCGAGTCAAATGAACGCCAAATTGATAAAAAGTTTCAGAAAATGTATAAAGCTTTCAAATTTTATGATATTTGTTAAATTGTTCAAAAAATTCTCCCTAACCTCAATGTTGAAAAATCGAAAATCCCTGGAAGAAAGCTTCAACTGATTCAAATATTTAAATATTAAATGGAAAATACCTAACCATTTTAAATTGCCTGATATAAATTAATTTGCTTAACAATTCTTTCTAACCTCAAAATGGGAAAACTCCGACATTGGTTCACAAATTAGTAAATTCAAGTCCAGATATATCAGAAATCGTTTTAGACTATAATTTAGTTCTTATTTCCACAATATCAATTCATTTACCTAAAATATTCTACATAACCTCAAAATTAGAACTTTGAAAATTGTTGCGCAAATGACTCAAAGTAGTTTGAGAAAGCTTTAGAATATTTCTATAATTTGTTGAGAGCTTTCATTTTAATTAGGTGCAATTATTTCTTCAAAAAAATATTTCTAACCTCAAAAATTGTTAAAAACAAAATCAAAACCAACTTCTCAAAATTGCCCAAAACAAGGGCAAGGTGAATTAGGAATCATGAGAGTGTAGTATTAGCTTTTATTTTCAAAATATCATAAAGTTTATTCTATGATGTTCTCCTTAACCTAAAATTTGATATTCTTTCTAACCTCAAAATATTTCACAAATTAACAAAATCAACGACATATTAATTAAAAATCATAACATAACATTTATTAATTACACCTTTTTCCAAGACCATTGATTTATACCAAAAAAATTCTCTCTAACCTCAAAAAGTAATTTTTTAAATGTTATGCAAGTGGGCAAAAACAAAAACCAAATTAATTGGAGATATCTACGATACACCAAAAATATCTATAAATGAATTACGAGAAATTCCCTCTAACCTCAAATTGGAATCCCCCAAATGTTTTGCCTTAGATCAACAGAAGCCAAAACATATTCAGGCATGTCACAGAAGTTTTACGAAATCGATTTATTTCACCTTATCCAAATCGTTACGATTTGCTTTTGCTTCTTCAGCACTCGAACGTTTTGACTAATCCGGAAAAAAAATCATTTCACATTTTTGAAATAAAAATATGGTAACTCCATGAAAAAAAAAAAATCGTAAACAAATTATTGACAATTAAAAAAGGAGTTTGAATTGTTTTTTATAATATAAACACCAAAAGTAAAAATGCCAGGGGCTTCAATACTTGCTGTAAATGATGATGTAATGAATAAATCAGCGGTCTACTGAAAAAATTCGTCGCCGGACATTGAGGAACGCATCAGATCCTTTATCTCACTCAAATGCAGAGTAAGGATCCACCATTTTTAGTCCATTGTGTAAAATAATGTAAAGTTAAGAACGAGTCGTATTTGCTTTTTCCTGTTCTACAGCTTATTTAAGAGTTTCAAGTTCAACTATTTTGACTTTCATTTCGTTCCGTTCACGCATTCTCTTTTGCATTTCAATATTATGTAACTGCTCTTCCACATACTTTTTTCCAGGATGTTACAAAGTCTGTCCAACTTTTCAGTTTGTTTTTTCATTTCCTTACTGTTACCTTCTAGAATTTTACAAATTTTTTCCAAGTTTTGTAAATGAGAATTTTCCTCAACTAAAAGCGCATTTAGATCTTGCTTTGAGGGAGTTCTTGCCCGGGGTCTTTTTACTGCAGGCGTGGGTTTTGCTTTTGTTAGGCTGCCCGACACTTGTCTTATTGGTGTAGATGGCGGAGAACACGATAAGCTTTTATTTCTAAGTCGTTTTTGAATAGGTGTTCGCGAACGGTTTTCTTCCAATGTTGGTGTTCTTGGATCAATTGCCAATGTAGAAACATTTTTAAAAGCAGCTGGAATGCATGATCTTGGTCTATCTTTTTTATTTAAAATCGAAGTGGTCTGCTTTGAAGTTGAGGGTGAAAAATTAAGCTCTTCGTTTTCAGATTCACTTAAAACTAATTGACTTGATTTTCGAGTTCTTGGAATATGTGTAGATGATGACGAATCAAAGTTTTCTTTTTCAGAACAACTGAGGTCTAATTCACTTACAAAATCCGCAAAGCTTACTGCACCACCAACTCCATCGACACTTTTATACAATCCGCAAATTCTGATTAAACTGTTCTCGTGTTCACTGAAAACATATTGATTGATATCACCACCACCAGTTCCTCGCAAGTCCTTTTTATTATTTTTCATCATGGATTAGAAAAATTGTTTGTAAAATAAATTCCAAAAACATGTTCATTCTAAGAGAATTTGGTTAATACAATATTTTCTGTTAAATGTATGTGTCTTCTGTTTATTTTTTACGTTAAAATCACTAAACATTTCAATTTCACCCCGCTTTTTGAAAGTGATATCAAAACGCAAAATTTTTGCGTTTTCCGTTTTTTAGAGAAGCTAAAACCGTTTTCGTTTTCACTCTTGAACGATTTTACATTCTGTGACATGCCTGATTAAAAGCTTCTCGCAATGCAAGATGCAGAAGCAGAAAGTTTCACAAAAAAACTGTCACTTTCTGATCAAATCCTTTCCTGCTTTCATTTTCAAGTCATTTTTGTTTTTCTTTTTTAAAAATGTCCTTGTCCAAGTCCCGCTTAGTGAGACTTTCCATGTTTTGTTTATTTTCATTTTTCAAAAATAAAAAAACCTATTCGTCACTGTTTTGCCAAGTTTACAACCCTATCATTAATATGTCATAAAGATCATATCTATGCTTCTGTGCACGTGCCTCCTTCCATCACACACACACACATATGACATTATGCTAAAAGCAAGTCAAATCGATAGAAACATATACAGATACACAGATCCAAGGACATTTGTCACCAAATACTAAGGATAATAACATGTGTCACTTAGTCATTTGTTTTTCCTTTTGCGGTCGGTCTACACACCATATGTTTGGGATGAAAATTTTAGAGGGTTGAAGAGTCGGTTTTGAGTTATTTCCATATTAAGGAGTCAATGTTATTGTCCACCCACTATAATTAAAGTTTGTTACTTGATGTTTGTCATTAAAGGTGTCATGATTTTCAATTCCATGAAAGTAGTAACGGATATGACAAGTTAGAGTGGGAAGGGGGGAAATCTTAATGACATTTTTGTTGACATATTTAAGTTAGTTCGCTAATTGCTTCCGTGCTTAGCCCGAGCACTAACAGACAGGTCCTTTGAATGATTGTATTCGGTAAAAATATTTTAATTTGGACCATCAAGAGGTCAACTTATCCACGATTTCAAATTCACATTTAAATCTCATGGTTATTTAGAAACCAAAATAAATTCCAAAAATCTAAGATCCCAATCTCTTTTGGAATCGTCCCCAGTTGTATTTCCATTCCCACAAATAAACATACACATCCTATTTCTCTACATTATTTTTGCGATCTTTATTTCATGATGAATCCGAAAAGACTAAAAGAAATGATAACTTGACAATTTATTAAGTAATAAACCATACATTTTCTGCAGTTTCAAATGAAACATTTTCACATCATTGACTTATGCGAAGGGATTTTCAACAAATATTGTTTGTGGGAAATATTGCTATTAGATTGTTACAAATAAAAACAATAGCTTCTCTTTAATAATCTTTCAATTAATTCACCTGAGTTTAAATAACAAAGTTTTCAATAGTAGTAGTAGCTTAAAGTTGTAATAACGTGTTTAAAAATATCTTGTGCTAGTTAGTGTTGTTGCTCGCTGGCCCTATTATATTAAAAAAAAAAAGAATTGCTAAGGCTACCCTATATTCCAAAAGCATTCCACAACAGTATTGCTTTCCACGAATCGGAAAGCCAAAGTTTTCGGAGAAATGAGGTAGTTTGGAGTAGTAGAAACAATGAAAATCATGAAATATTTATAAAATGTTGGAGAGAAAAAAAAAAACGTAAAAGAGAAACATAAAAACAAAATTTGAAAAATATTCTTATTTGACTATTAAGATACTTAAAAAATAATGAGTCAACTGGCGGCAAATATTATTTCCATTTCATCTATAACGTCTACTATCTTCGGCATAATCATCACCGGCATAGCCCCTTGAACGATGTGAATGTGAATGATGATCACGTTCAGATCGTTTGCGATCGGAATGATGTTTTGTATAAGAACGACTACGGGAGCGTGATCGTGACCTGGAACGTGAACGATGCTTGTGTTTGTGCTTCTTCTTGTGTTTCTCTCTATAACGTTCACGTTCTCGACTCGAACCACGGTAGACACTTTCGGGCGAAGAGTTACGCTCATAACGTTTTGAGGATTTAGGTTCACGATGACGATCATAGTCACGTGGATAATCCAAACGATCATCATGCTCTCCCCGATGATAGGTGGGAGGAGGTGGAGGCTCCCGACTGGAGTATGCAGCGGAACGGCCACGGCCATCATATTTTTCTTCACCATCTTCATAGTCATTTGTGGCGGTGGTGGTGGTACGAGCATTAGTTCCCGTATTTGCACCACCCGCTGAACTAAGCTGATATAGAGTTACTCCATTTTCTCTGCAATACTGTTCAAGCTTCTTTTCAATTTGTTTTTGTATGGGTACAGGTATGCGAGGAAACAACGTGGAAAACCAATCCAATTTGGTTAAAAACTGATAGACCATTTGGCCGATTGTAATGACCTGCAAAAGGAATAAAAATTAATACTATTATGAAAAAGAAAAAAAGGAAGTTGTATTTAATATCCACACATAGAAATGTTCATCAAAGAATAGCTGAAGCTTTGGGAATTCTTAAAAAACGGCCAGGGAATATAAAAACGATCTAAGGTACCAAGGGTCTATAGAGACAAGCTGAAGAGACACGAAGTCTGCATTTTTTTAAAGAAGAGCTAGCTAGAGTGTTAGTAGATCAGGGTTTAGAAGGGTATATCTGAGTCTGAGGCGGCTCAAGGAGTCCTTAGAGCGCAACTCTTCTGTCTATAAAGACAGAAGGGCCAAAAAATTTATATATTGGAAGAATATTGGTGTGGTTATCTTTTTGAGGAAGACCAAATGCTTATTTAAAAAAGAAGTTATTTTCTTAATTCAGAAAAAAGTGAAAGAATTCATTATATCGAGGTGCGGGAAAATGCCTTTGGTAACTTAATAGCTTGTTAATTATATTTCCATCTTATTTTTAATGATTTTTGTACTCCCGGACATGAGACTATTTCCCTGAGATAAACAAGTTCCCAAACGTACGACTATAAGCTTTCTCTTATGAAAATTTCTGTTTCTAAAATACGCAATTTTTTTAAATAAAAAACAAAAGCCAATCGTACAATCGACTCACCTGGCCGCCACCGGCTTTTACATCAATTTCTTCTTCATCCTGGAGATAATCTTCATACCAATCATATAAATCACCCGGGGGTTGGGTGTAACGCAAGTACATAAAACCTAGAAAAATCAATAAATTAGTAATTCTTCTTCCCTCTGAAAACAAATAACTATAATTTAAGAATATGCTATGAGTACAAATTGTTGCCTGATGATGCTGATGTTTTGTTTTTTAATCTGGCTGGCTTTGTGGGCACTCAATTGACTTACCACCTACCTAATGCCCTTATATAGGGGGAATCTGTGTGTGTGATCAAGCCATTAACCTGTTTTCGAGTCAAACGTAAGGTATACAATTTATATAACAAACAATAGGCAGTGGATACAATGCCACCGGCACCAACTCCTCTAACCTGCAATAGATGGAAACAAATTTTGCAAATATTGCCACAGCATTAGTAACATTAATCACATGTCAGACTTAGAGCCCTTTCTTTAAAACGAAAAAGGTACATTTCATAAACTCACTCCGCCACACATGCCCGTTTGGCCGCTGGTTTTGCGGGAGCCACGCTCCCACGGTTCCATATGCTTAACTTGATAATAAATCTCGTCAACCACTTCATGATAGGTTTTCAATTTGAACAAATGCACTGCAAGACATGGAACATAGTTTCATATAAATAATTTCAATTATATTCCAGTGTTAAAAAGTGTGCATGCTCTTGTGTTGTCTACTGTACCTTTGTGGACGTACCTTTAAAGTAGCTAGAACTCTGTATATTGGCCAAGATCAGGGGATTTAAATTCATGGTAGATTCATTACCCCATAGTGGTAGGGTATTGTGCATTTTACCAACTTTCTTGGCCGCCGATTGTTTGCCGGCCGAAGAAGATGCATAGTCTGTAAAAAGAAGAGAGAAAACGGGGACATTAAAACTGAATGCAATGCAAGGACAGCGCGTCGATTTTCATGTCTGGCTTGTATCGCTATTTAAGATTTTGCAAACATTTTGTTGTTGTTGCCGGGAAGAAATGACTAGATGGGATTAGGATATAATTTCACATTTAAATAAAGGTTTTATGATCCCCAAGCTCCTTGGAAAATTTGACAGACAGACTCTACAGTCACTAGTCTCTGCAACCCAAGCCAATTTCAATAAACGTATAATGAATGCAGCAACATTTTCACACTTACCTTCTTCCATGTCTGATTCTGTCTTTTCTTGTTTCAAATTGTCAAGTTCTTCAAATTGTTAATGTGAAATGAAACAAGAATGACCACTTTTAACTTATATTACAATTATTCAACAATTTTTATAGATTTTTATGCAAAAATCTTAGTGAAATCACGCAAAAACTAAAAAAGTTATCATACCGTCCCGCAAAAAATGGTTGTGTGAAGCATGAAGCAGCGCAACGGCGACAATGTTCGTTTAAGCGACACCGAAGTTTGTATGCCAAGTAATCGCAGAGACGGGTACACACTATTTGTTTTGAGCGACAGTTGTGTTCAGTTATCGATTGCTTACGTTTTTAAGGAAAGAATATGTATGCAAAAATATAATGATTAAAAGGATATAAACAAAAGCTCTTGCCAGCACATGCAAGAATCTAAAATTGTACTTCTATAATCAATTTTGTATATGATATCCAAAATATTATGAAAAAGTTCTTGCAATATCTGGAACAGGGCGAAAATGTCAGATGGAATCTAGTCATGCAATCATATGTTTACAATTTCTTTTTTCAAAATTATTCGTTTGACAACATCTAATTGTCAAAATTTATATACATAAATCCATTGAATACACAGAAATCAGAGATGGAAAACTTTTTTTATACAGTGAAATTTGACAAGGTAAATTACAGAAATTGCAGAGATGGAAAGGCTTATTTGAAATGACTTTACCTTCTTTATTTTACCACGCTGTTCCAGTACCTGCAAGAATCTACTAGCCTTGCAAAGTTTCTCCGATATCATAAAGGGAAATCGGTTATCGTAGACCACATTCTTGCAGATCTTGGACATAGCAATGATTTTCTTCCAAATATTTTATTTTTAAAGTTAAACAACTGCTTATAATGTAGGATAACCTGAAAGAACATGCAATAAATCTCATGAGTTCAACTGTCAGTTTTATTGTGCATACGTCAAATGAAAATCACTCGATGTTATTTCATGAAATTGACATTTGAAGACCCCTGGATTTATTATTGCTCTGATCCAGAACCTACGAGCAAGTTTTGCATTTTTTTAGATATTATAAAAGAAAAATCGGTTACCGTAGTAAAAACTTTTACATTCTTACAATTCCAGAACAGACGACATATTACTAAGAAGATTTCATTCTTGCAGTTCTGGAACTAACCATTTCTTTGTTCCAGTACCTGCCAGAATCTACAAGCTTTGCAATTTTTTCATATCTTAAAGGGAAATCGGTTATCGCAGTAAAAATGTTTACATTCTTGCAATTCTGGAACAGACCACAGAGTAGTAAACAGTTTTTCATTCCTGAAGCTCTGAAACAGAGCGTATATGTATATATACTATTATTTACAACAAATCCAAGGTATTTTAAAAATATTCTGAGCCAATGTATTAAGAATATGCTGCACCAATTGTTAACATTGCATGGTGAATGCCCTGCTACGTTGTATTAAAAAGAAGAAGAATCGTACACGCGTTACCACATCAATGTGAATGCACAGAACAAGAAGAATCATTTTTTTCTACGTGAATGAAAAGGGAAAAGGATAATAAAAAAATATCCAGGAAAAGGACGAGAGGTCGCACAACGCACACAGAAAAAAAATATATAAAAGGATACATTTTTCGATTAACAAACCTGATTTGTTTTGCGGAATGCTTGCTTAGTTTTGCCGAATAAGGTATGTTCTGTTTTTGGAGCATTACTAATTGAATCCTGACTAATAGTGTTTTTTTTCTGTTTTCTTCTTAAATACTCCACTCTATACTCCATTACGCGACCTACGCACAGTTGAAGTCTGTGTATCCCATTGAAATTGATAAATTATCTTATACGGACGAACAAATCGAGTTCTTTCTGGATCTGGCCAAAAAAGGAAACTAAATACTGACTACAAAGCCATGATGGGGTTCGTGAATAAAAAATGTGCAAAGTTTGATCTGAAATGAGCACGATAATCGAAAGGTGTCAGCTAACATCAGAAGGAAAATTAACTTGAAAACCACTGGCAAAAGGTCAAAAAAACATCGCAGAGCACAACACTTCCCACGCATTGTTTAGAATTTCAAAAACTTCTATGAAAGGGCCTGCGGGATATTCTTAAAGCTAATTTAATTGTAATACTCGCTTCAGATTTTGGCCTACATGTGAAGGTGCTCTTAACATTGCACACTTGCTTTCCCTTTCTGGTCAAAACAAAATTGTTTGTGCGGTCGACAACCTGTTGGAAAAACTGCTGCTGCCAACATGACGAGTACACCTTCCTCGGAAGACAGTGAAGAGCAGTATGACGCCTTAACCGAAGAATTGCATAATATTCAATCGGTCATACATGTGACCAGAGAGAATATTGATGCCTTGAATGCACGTTTTGCAAATCTGCAGGAACCTCCGCCCATGTACATTGCCGAGTACCAGGAGTTGACGTCAAAACTACATGAACTGGAAACCAAGGAATCGGAACTAATAGAGCAACTAAATGCCCAGCAGGAGTTGGAGGAGAAGGAGCAACAACAACGTGAGCTGAATGAGTTCCAATCGCACTATCAAAATCAACTGCAAATTCAGCAACAGTTGTTGACTCGACCGCCAGCCTTTAATGAAATGGTAAGTAAATGGTTGAACGACCTCACATTGAAATGTGTACTAAATCTTCTGCATTTCAGACCGATAGTATTATTTCTTCCCAATACGGTGGTAGCCAGTGTGGCACGCTGACAAGACAGCGCAAGGTCCTGATGCGTGCCCATTTACCAAATCAACAGAGAACCTCGGTGGAAGTTGTTGCTGGTGTCCGGTTATGTGATGCTTTAATGAAGGCATTAAAGTTACGTCAACTTACACCTGACATGTGCGAGGTTACCACATCGGAAAATGGCCGAAATATAATACCATGGCACACCGACATTTCCACTCTGCAAGTCGAAGAGATTTATGTGCGTCCCAAATGTCCCATTATGACACACATTTCCCATCAATTTATACGTAAAACATTCTTTACGTTGGCCTTCTGTGAGTGTTGTCGCCGTTTGCTGTTCACCGGATTCTATTGCAATCAATGCAATTTTCGATTCCATCAACGGTGTTACGACAAAGTGCCAACATTGTGTCAGCAATTCCCTGTCGATAGTTACTATCAGCGATTGTTGGCTCAAAATCCTGAAAATGCTGTGGGTATCATACATCCTGGTCGGGGTATGGTGGGAGATTTTCAGGTAAGTGTAAAGAATTATAAATGAAGAGACAATTTCTAACTCCTTTTGTTGTAGGGTCGTCATCCTCGTTCCATAAGCCAACAGGATCGTTCCAACTCCGCACCCAATGTTTGTTACAACAACATAAAACCCCTGACGGAAGCCCAATGCAAATTGATACAAGCCCATGCTACACTACAACATGATGGTGATCATTCCAATTCAACCCAAGCCTCACCCACGAGTACCCTGAAGCATGTGAAGAGGGAAAGGGCCCGTTCAGCCGATGAGAGTAATAAAAACTTGTTGTCTTCCAATCGGTCCTCAGAGGAAAATTGGGTAAGCAGAAGTTGTTTTTTGGGAAGAGAGGATGTAAATTTCATTAACGTGTTTTTGTTTGCAGAACATACAAGCCGAGGAAATATTAATTGGTCCCCGCATTGGCTCTGGCTCCTTTGGAACGGTGTACAAAGCCCATTGGCATGGCCCGGTGGCGGTTAAGACCCTTAATGTAAAAACTCCTAGCCCAGCTCAATTGCAGGCCTTTAAAAATGAAGTTGCCATGTTGAAGAAGACACGTCATTGCAATATCTTGTTGTTCATGGGCTGTGTATCGAAACCCTCACTGGCCATTGTGACGCAATGGTGTGAGGGCAGTAGTCTTTATAAGCACATACATGTCAAGGAAACGAAGTTTAAGTTAAAGACACTCATCGATATTGGTAGGCAGGTGGCCCAGGGTATGGATTATTTGCATGCCAAAAATATTATACACAGGTGGGTATCCTTCCCCCAAATTATTTTGCAAAGCAATAACACTTTCATGACTCCTTTTTCAGAGATTTAAAATCGAATAACATTTTCTTGCAAGATGAGTACAGTGTTAAAATAGGAGATTTCGGTCTGGCCACTGCCAAGACACGATGGTCGGGCGAGAAACAGGCCAATCAACCCACTGGCAGCATATTATGGATGGCTCCCGAAGTTATACGCATGCAAGAACAAAATCCCTATTCATTTCAATCTGATGTCTATGCCTTTGGTATTGTTCTCTACGAATTACTGGCCGAGTGCCTACCCTACAGTCATATCAATAACAAAGACCAAATATTGTTTATGGTCGGACGTGGTCTACTGAAACCCGATATGACACGTATACGTTCCGATGCGCCTCAGGATTTGAAACGTCTCTTGGCGGGTTGTATAAAATACGATCGCAACGAAAGACCTTTGTTCCGTTTGAACTTGAATATTTTGGATAACATATGGCGCACCCTGCCCAAACTGCATCGCAGTGCCAGTGATTCCACACTAACTCAAACTCAACTACAACATGATGACTTTATATATTCTTGTCCAAGTCCCAAGACGCCTGTGAATTTTCAATACTATCACAGTGCCGGTAATATCTAGCGGTGCTGATCCGTAGCCACACTTGTGATAAACAAACTTGTTTAAGCCAGACAAGGAAATTTTGAAAATATGATAATCTTTTGGAAAATGTTAACGAACGGAAGAATTTAACACTAATGCAACCACTACAAATAAACTACTTTAAAAGTTACAGCAAACAAACAAAAGAAAAAAAACAAACAAAAACGATGAGATTCAGTAAAGAAAACAAAGCTTTTAAACTATGCATTAAGGCACCACTCAAGACAAGGCAAATCACACATAAATACACACACACACACCTAACTACCTACATGGATACATATATATATTATTAGTATATAATTATAAAAGAATGCAACATTTTTACTATAGAAGGCAATCGAATTGCAAAAAGAAAAAAAGAACAAAAACGAATGAACAAATGATGAGTTAATGGTTAACCACATTCTGGCTGGCTGCCGATCTGTCTAGAATCTTCAAAACAAAGCAGCAGCAGCTACTACAACTGGAGTTGTGTAAATATTTATGTGATGAGGCATAAGGATACATATAAACACACACTAAAAATATATATCATTGTCATAATTGTTTTATGAAACAATTTCAACAGCATAATCCTCCCGTAACTCAAATCAAAACATTAGATGCCTCCATTAGACTTTTAAAAACTCGAAAAAATAACAACAAAAAACAAACTAATGAAACATACATATACATAAATAAAAACAAAAAAAAACAAATTAACTTCTGTTAACTTCTTTACAAGTGAAACTTTTTCTAAAAAAAAAAACACACAAACAAGGAATGCTAAATGATGACATAGAAACAGAACAAAAGGCAACCTCCAAGTAAAATTTTTAATTTTAACTAATAACACAGAACGAAAATGACTATCAATAATTTTTAATTTATTGTACAACAAAACCCTGCCCTCATATATTTTTAAACTATATAAAGTTTATTTCCATTTTTTTTTTTGTAATAAAATCTATTTATTATTATTTTTTAACAAACCTCCGTCACTAATTTCTAAGTAATTTTAATTTTTCTTATAATGGTAAATTAGTTTTTATTTTTTATGTTTTTTTGTAAGTTTTATATTTACTTTCCTCCTCCTCATTTTCCCCTTTTTAGACCCCACCCTCCAGACCCCAAAAATCACTGCAACAAAAGAAAACTAGAATTTAACTTGAAAACCCCGCTCTAGGATATAAACTATTTAATGTATATCTGCTTAAATATTAGGTTACCTATTGTAAATAATATTTGTTAATTTAATATAAAAAAATTTAAGTAATTAACAACTATTCAAACAAAAAAAAAACAAATAAATTGTGGTTTTATTTATTAGGGATATTTTGAAAGGAAACAGGAATCTTCTGAAAGTCTCTAAAAATCAGACCTGCCAGAAAGAATTCTTGATCTACAGGCTCTCTCTCTCTCTTATATCTTTGGACCTCCTTTTGTTTTAATGGTTATTTAAAATTTTGACCCATTGCTGGGGATGGAATCATGAAGAGTGGACCGATATTACTCATCTTAACACCAGATCTTGTGTTGATAAAAATATTGTGATGTGCCGAGTTTGAAAGAAGTCAGCGGTTGAAAGAAGTTTGCGGTTTTTTATTATGATTATTCAAAATGTTGACCTCTTTGTGGCGGGAGGTGCACACCAGACCTTCTGTCAGTAGAAATATTGGAATGTGTAAAATTTGAAGAGAATCGGGTGCTTATTTCACATTTTCTAAGTGCTTTTGTTATTCAAAACTTCAACCCCTTTTGTGGGAGAGGTACCAGAAGGGCTGAACCGACATATCCCATATTCACACCAGATCTTGTGTTAGCAAAAATATTGCGTTGTGTGAAATTTGAAGAGAATCGAATGCATACATGAGCATTTACGAAGGTTTTGTTATTCAAAAATTTGTCCCCTTTGTGGGAGAGGTACCAGAAGGAGAGAGCCGACATATCCCATCTCTATACCAGATCGTGTATTAGTGGAATTGTAAAGATAGGTGGAATTTTGAGGAGAAACGGAAGCTTATTTTACATTTTATAAGCGTTTTGGTTATTCAAAATTTTGACCCCTTTGTGGGGGAGGTATCAGAAGGGGTGAGCCCATATATCCAATATTCACATCTGATATTATGTTGATTGAAATATTGGGTTGTGTAAAATTTGAAGAGAATCGAATGCATACATGAGCATTTACGAAGGTTTTGTTATTCAAAATTTCAACCCCTTTGTGGGGGAGGTATCAGAAGGGGTGAACCCATATATGCAATATTCACACCTGATATTGTGTTGATTGAAATATTGGGTTGTGTGAAATTTGAAGGGAATCGGATGCTTCTTTCGCATTTTATGAGCGTTATGGTTATTCAAAATTTTGACCCCTTTGTGGCAGAGGCACCAGAAGGAGAGAGTCGATATATCCCATCTTCATACCAGATCTTGTGTTAGTGGAATTGTAAAGATAGGTGCAATTTGAGGAGAATCGGAAGCTTATTTTACATTTTATAAGCGTTTGGTTATTCGAAAAGTTATACCCTTTGTGGTTGAGGTACCAGAAGGGGTGAACCAATATATATCCAATATTCACATCTGATATTGTGTTGATTGAAATATTGGATTGTGTGAAATTTGAGCATTTTACGAGCGTTGTGTTATTAAAAAACTTGACCCCTTTTGTGAGGGAGGTACTGGAAGGGGAGATCCGATATATCCCATCTTCTCATCAGATCTTGTGTTAGTGGAAATATAGAGATGGGTGCAATTTGAGGAGAAGCGGATGCTTATTTCACATTTTATAAGCGTTTTGGTCATTCAAAATTCTAACCCATTTATAGGGGAGGTACCAGAAGGTGAAATCCGATATATCCCATCTTCACACCAAATCTTCTGTTCAAAGAATTGTTGGGATGTCCCGAGTTTGAAATTAATAAGATGCTTCTTTCGCATTTAATGATCGTTTTGGTTATTCAAAATCCAGAAGGACTGGTGCGATATTTCCCATCGTCACAGGAAATCTTGTGTTGAATTAAAATATTTGGATGTGCCGAGTTTGAAAGGAATCGGATGTTCATTTTGCGTGTTTTGAGCTTCGTAGTTATTCAAAAATTTAATCAAAAACCAGTAAAGAAAGTCCTAAAGTCGGGCGGGGACGATTTTATGATATCCTACACCACTTTGCTAATTTAGTTGAGCTCCGCATAACAATTAAAAGTTTTTATGGGAGAATTCAATCAGACACCCTATGATTATAATTATAATTTAAAATTCAAAGGACTAAATATGCCGAACTATTTGTATCTTTTAAATTCGGACTTGTATTGCCCATTTGGTGCAAAATTAATTTGAAATCAGATAAAGATATATATGGGAGCTATGTCCAAATCTGAACCGATCTTGATACAATTTGGCAAAGATATTTCTGATCTGTATTTCATCTATTTCACTGAATATCGTTGTTACGGCTGTGGGTAACAAATATAACAAATCGGATGAACAATATATATGGGAGCTATAGCTATATCTGAACCGATTTCCACCAAATTTGACATACTACCTTCTAGACTCAATTCGGTCGTATGTGCCAAATTCCATCCCATTTGGGCAAATATTAGACGTTTGGTGCACAATAAAAGGTAAATCGGACGAAGTTATATATGGGAGATTATATCCAAATCTGAACCGATCTCGATAAAATTTGGCAAAGATATTTCTGAGCTGTATTTGATATATTTCCCCAAATATTGTTGTTACATAGTGCATATTACGGCTGCGGAGGACTAAAATAACAAATTCGGTTGAATAATATATATGGGAGCTATGGCTATATCTGAACCGATTTCGATCAAATTTGGCATACTCATTTTCAGGCCTCAATTGGTTGTATGTACAAAATTCCATACTATTCGGACTGATATTACACGTTTGGTGCACAATAAAAGGCAAATCGGACGAAGATATATATGGGAGCTATATCTAAATTTTTACCGATTATCTCCAATTTCAATAGGGTTCGCCCTTGGGCCAAACAAATTATTTGTGCAAAATTTCATCTGGATCGGGCAATAAATGCGACCTGTACTTTGTTTACAAAAATACATGGACAGACGGACAGACGGACGGACGGACATGCATAAATCGACTCAGAATGTGATTCTATGCAGATCATCAAAAGGAACAATGGGTCTATCTCGTTTCCTTTTGCCTATTACAAACAAATGCACAGACATAATATCCCGACCACCTTGTGGTGTAGGGTATAAAAAGAAACTGCACAGAAAGAGAAATGATAATACGATTCTGCTCCAACTTTGCAAATCCTAATATTTGCATCAGTGCTAGGTCAGGTGCGAAAATGGTTAATGGCCATTGTGCCCTGGAAATGAAACGAGGAACCTCATTCTTGGTTGGTGCGTGCTGAGTGCGATAGTGCTGATTACTGTTGGAATGCCCAAGGTCTGTGGCCAAAATTTTTGCGTGTCCAAGGCTTTAATTCACCCTCCAGAATATTTTCGCGATAATATTCGGCATTTATTCTGATGCCACGGTCGATTACTTTTCGAACCATTTCTTCTTCTTTACTTTTCGAACCATTTCTGCTGATGTTGCTGTTTTCATCCGTCCACTTCCTTGACGTCGGGCTATGCTACCAAAATCACGGTAACGAGTGATGGTACGAGACACAAAAGATTAATTCACATTTAAATGCTGGAGTGCTCTAACGATAGCCACTTGTGGTTGGTTTTCCAGCCAAATATAAAGAAATCACACTGTCACGCTTGAATTTCATCACGAATAACTTTTTTTTCTGGAAAATTCTTACCAAAATGCTTTTGTACGCTTGCAAACAATATAATGAGCTGTCACTGGAATAATTTTAACACCTTTCGGATGAGTGGCTAAGATATGACAGGCGTCTGAAGTTGGTTGCAGTTTTTCCATCTCACCCTGTAAGTTTCATAATAATAGGTGTGTCTGGTTACCCTAAAATTTGTAACAATTGTTACAAATTGTTACTGGAAGTCGTCTGTTAACCCAAAAGTTCTGCAAAAGAGAGCGGTTGGAGAGAGAAATTTTGACAGTTCTTTCAGTGAGAATTTGCAAATTCTTGCTGGAAAAATTTCTTCTTGCAATAGGTGTGTCTGGTTACTTTTCCAGCAGGAATTGTCCAGCAACTTCTTTCTGAGAGAGTAAGGTAGTTTTATTCTCTTTTGCTAGGAAATTGCGAAAAGTAAACAGACGGTATTCCTGCAGAAGCTTGCAACTAATCAGCTGATTTGTCAAAACAAACCAATTTGTCCCCCATTAAAAGAATTAAACGAAAGGATTTCACATGTTTAATAAATAAAAAGGAATAAAATAAAAATATGAGCAATAAAAGGAAGATAGATTTGATGTATTCCGCGGAATCCTGTAAACCTGTTGCTAATGATATTTGTCTAAAAATGTTGGAAATAGTCTTTTATTTTCTTATTACATATTAACATTTACGTTTTTCAAATTTTGTAAAGTTTTTCTCCAAAAACTATTCGTCTTGCTAATTCCAAAAAAAAATTTTCAAATTGAAAGCACAAAAATAAATAAATAAACAATAGAAAACATCTGATTGAATGTCGATGAATGAGAAGAAGAAGAGTTGCAAGAGTTTGCAAGAAGAAATTTTTCCAGCAAGAATTTGCAAACTCTCACTGAAAGAACTGTCAAAATTTCTCTCTCCAACCGCTCTCTTTTGCAGAACTTTCGGGTTAACAGACGACTTCCAGTAACAATTTGTAACAATTGTTACAAATTTTAGGGTAACCAGACACACCTAATCACTTGCAACTCTTCTTCTTCTCATTCATCGACATTCAATCAGATGTTTTCTATTGTTTGTTTATTTATTTTTGTGCTTTCAATTTGAAAATTTTTTTTTGGAATTAGCAAGACGAATAGTTTTTGGAGAAAAACTTTACAAAATTTGAAAAACGTAAATGTTAATATGTAATAAGAAAATAAAAGACTATTTCCAACATTTTTATTCAAAAAACTTGTAAAATTAGTATTGCTTCCTTTGTTTTAATTCTCCTTATGGGGGACAAATTGATTTGTTTTGATTTGATCAGCTGATTAGTTGCAAGCTTCTGCAGGAATACCGTCTGTTTACTTTTCGCATTTTCCTTGCAAAAGAGAATAAAACTACCTTACTCTCTCAGAAAGAAGTTACTGGACAATTCCTGCAGGAAAAGTAACCAGACACACCTAATATTACGATGTAGAAAACTTATAACAAATCGGATATTCGCCCCCTCCCCTAGATCGACTTTATAGGTTATGGAACGGGTTTCGTCCAAAATAAACTAGGATCTAAAATGAAAAAAAAAATCTTTTATGCATAAAGAGCATATTTGGCTGGCTTAAGTCAATGGCTGGCTTCTTCGTAGATGAAGGTTGACTTAGTTCGATTTTGGCCCTAGGCTCCTTTGTTCATTTCCGAAGAAGCCAGCCGATGACTTAAGCTAGCCAGAAAAGCGCTTTATGTATTTCCACCCTAACTCTCTAACCCTCTATATTATCGGTAGTCCACTGTATTTTAAAAGCTATCCTATCTAAGAAACTCTTTCTGCGCTAGCTCTTCTCCAAAGAGTCTGAGTCTGATGACACATCGCATCACCCACAACCGCCATTCAAAGTAAATAAAAAAATAAATTACACATTCTCCACATGATTTGTTGATTCATAAAATATTTATTCTTTTTTTTTTAAACAATACCTTCACAATATTTGCAAATACAATTTAATGAATACTCATCATACACTTTTGTACAGTGTACAGTAACTTGGTTTTCCTATTCTAACTTGGTTATCTATACCTCTGGACTGTTGTATGCTTATATCTAAATGTAGTGGAATTTTGTTTTGTTATCTTTATTGCCATAGCAAAAAAAAAGACTCACCAAAGATAACTATTTTTAAAAAATTTTCTACAAAAAACTGTATATTATTAGTGAACACGACGATGATGAAGAGGCACATGCATATAGAAACATTAATGTAATACTTTGTTTTTCTTTCTTTTTTTTCTAAATACATATATGTGTATATAGTTCGGTTTCTTTTGATTCAATTAAGGATATTTTCAGTTGAGCAAATACATATGTAGTTAGTTGTCTGTCTGTCTTTGTAGTAAATATTTAAATAATAAAACAATATTACCAATCTCTTTGATAACCCATTAAAAAAACTAAACTCTTAAAACTAGAAAACAATAATGATTGTTTTTTTAAAATTAGATAAAGTACGTGTAAAGTAGTTATGTATAATAGTTGTGTAAAAAAAAAAGGTTGTAAAAATGGAATTTTGTTTCTCCCTTAAAATCTATCTATCTTTTAATAGTCTATGTTGCCTTGAGCCCCGGTTATTATGACATCAATCCATATTCTGGCAGCCGCATCTGAGGCTGCCTGCAAATAGTATTTCCTCTTCTTGGTCTTGACAATGAATGTGCAATGGGGGCGACTGCTTTTGGAGGCATTCAAATGATCCATATAAACCTCATCAATGGATGAGAAATAGGCCCCACCTCGTGGCTTGCGTTCGCTTTTATCCGAATAATAGATAAACGCATTGCGTTGTCGATCGAAGACAAACCAACGTTTCGACCAGGTGTGGAATGTTGAGCCCAATTTATGTAAATAACCTCTGCAGGATAATTCATCTACGAAAATATGAGGACACAAATCAATTTGATGGCCGGCCGAGATAATGTGTCGCCTCAAATCTAAATCTTGGGCAAAAATTGGCATATAACGTGTCAGAGGTCTTTGATGTTTGGCCAGCAGCATTTTTCGTCTTTCACTGCCCTCACTGGAGCTTAAAACACTGCTGCAACGTTTCTCCAAGCTACAGCTGCGCGGACTTTCCGGACTTGTGGTTCTCAGCGAGGAGGGACTTTCCAGAAATGATTTTCTCTTGGGACCTGGTGTCAAATCATCAGCTGTCTCTGAATTCGATTCGGACAAGGGCCTTTGATAATTACCGGGAGCCGAGTTTTGTTTTTCGTACGCCATTTGTGACTTTTGGCCAGGTGATTGAATTGCCAAAGGTTCCGACACCTGCCTTTCAATGGAGCTAACTGAAATCCTCTTCTGTTTCAAGTTCTCCTTGTTTTGCCCTCCTCCCCCTCCCCCTCCGAGGGTATTTAAGTACTTTTGCTGTTGTTCTGTGGAGGTATCGGAATTTAATTTCTTTAAAATCTCCTCAATTTTGTGACGTTCCTTTTCCAAGGCTTTTTGCTCCTGTTTGGAGGCCAATAATTTGCGATTTCTTTCAATTTCTTTAATAGATTCCATAATTTTATTCGATGCCTCCTTGGAGGTTTTCACGGTTGTGGCCCCCTCATCCACCTCATCCCGACCGCAAATGCTATCCTGGGAAACCTTGCGACTACTGTTATTGCTGCTGCCACTCAGCAGTCTCAAGGCATTTTGGGGTATTTCTATCTTATTGTTGTAGAACATGTTCTCGTTGAAGGATTTCGACATCAAGTCTTCGTTGTGAACTGCTTTGGGACATAGAATTTCCGTAGAGCCAAACAGAGATTGTGACATAATTGACTGAGATGATCCGCCCGTCGTGGCCTTTTGGGTGGCTATTTGTGTTGCCAATTTCTCTTCCAAATCCTTAAATTTCTGCTCACAATCCTGCAGATCGTTGAGCAAACAGACCAGACGTTTCCTTAACTGTTTCTGTGATTCCGAGGAGGTAGGTTCTTGTTTCTCAATGTTTTCAATTGCCATTTTAGTTTCTTCGATTTTCTTGAGGCATGTTGTCTCTTCCAGATGCAGCTCTTCACATTGAGCCTGCCAGTCCGACTCACCCTCGAGATATTGAAATTCCAAATCTTCAAAGGCTTTACGATCATTCTCCAGAGATTCACACACATTTGCCAATTCCTCCTTGAGGCAGGGATTATCGGGTTTCTGCTTTAGCATTTCCTTGAGTTTCTCCACCTGATCTTGTTTCATTTCAATGGCCTGCTTCAGCTTGGCCTGTTGATTCTCCTCCATGACCCGAGTGGCATTGCGTTGAGCCTCAAGTCGATGTATTCTCTGTTGCAATGCCTTGTAGTCCTGTTCCAGTTCCCGTTTGCTATCATTAAGGGCCTGTAACTCGCCCAGGACCAAAGCATTTTCCATATCCATTTCAATTAAGGCCTCATTGTCTTGTTGCTGTAAAATGGATATCTCCTGCTTGAGATTATTTAAACGCCTCAGCAAATCTTCCCTTTCGATATGTAATCTTTCCTGTTCGTAGTTTTTATTTTTCAGGCTTGATAAACTACCTCTGGTTGCAGGGGTTTTGGAGCTGGTGGTATTGGGTTTTATCGAATTCCTGGGTGCTGGTGTGGGTTTCTTTAGGAGTTTAGGTGAATTGTGCGGCGATACCAGAGATTTAATATCAATGGTTAAATTGTTAATGTTTTTATTGCTTCTCCTTGTGCCCAGGGGCGTATTATTGGCGGACAGGGGTTTGTTGACATTTCTTGAACTCTCCTCTATGGCCTCGATTTCTTTTTGAAATTTTTCCTCAAAGTTTTTAATCAAATCTTCGTAGTTTGTAGTTTTGCTAAAATCTTGGGCAAATGGAGCAGAGATTTCTTTCTTCGGTGACGATAGACAATTGGTACGGATTTTGGTTCTGGGACTCTGGGGCACATATCTCACATTTTCATAACCGGCGGTACTCCCTGTCCCAGTTTTAGTTTCACTTTCCCCAAATTTGTCTGCCAACACCAGTCGAACATTTTCATAACCACTTGATTTGGCAGTGGGAGATACCGTCACCTCATTGGCAGACTTTTGAAATGGTGATTTTTTCTCCCTGGGCAAGGAACCATTGGTCTTAATGCGATTCTGGACAATTGGTGAGGAACTTAGACTACCACCTGCACTGCGATCTTGACGCTCCGCATATTCGGTACAAATTTTCAGCATATCTTCCAAATAATCACTGTTATCAAATGCTTGCCTCCCCTCCTCCTCCTCTTTCTCATTCGATTTCACGTTAGTGTTTTGAACTTTCGATAAAAATTCCATACCTTCATTAAATGATTTCATGGCGTTACTACCCCCACTGCCTGGAATGTTGTTCGTAAAGAGAACTTCGTTATGTTTCACATTGACGTTCTTATCTTTGCGATGATTTTCAGCTAAGTTCTTGGCAAAATTGGCATACTTCTGACCCAGTACATCTTTGGCTGGCATATTGACGGTTACCAAATCTGAACTGAACACTTTGGGACATTGCCAACCGTTTATGTCCAACGGTTTCAGATTGTTGTAGGTCTTATCGAATCCCTCATTTTCCTGAGACTTGCGTCGCCGATTCGGATTGATGTTTGTTTCGTAGAAATAATCCAGCATTGCCGTTTCATCTTTTTCGAAATCTTCCAGACGATTGCCAATGGCTGTTCTCATCTGCTCAGCTTCAATGGGATTGTTGTAACGCAAAGCATACGAGTCTCCCATTGTAATCATGGCTCCTTGTTTCAAATCCACCTCGGCATCAATTGATTGGCCATCGATGAGGATGCGTGCTCCACGTTCGGGTACCAAAGTTACTTGATTTTCTTCACTGCGGTATATGATACAATGCAACGGCCGTACTCCTGCACCCGACAGGGATATGTTACTGTGCAGCGATGAACCAATTGTAGTGTCTCCCACCGGAATGTTGTGTATGGTTACTGCCGTGCTCAAGCGACCGCCTCCCAGACTCACCAAGTGTGGCTCATTTGCGGCCACGCGTAACGAGGGGTCTTTTTTCGATGACAATGACATATTTTCCTCTTTCGTTATATGGCTTTGTAAACAAAAGGAAAAAAAAACTCAAAAAAAAAGGTAAAACACACCTCAACTCAGCTTCTTGGCATTTTTAGTTTGTTTGGAATGTGGAAGACATTTATTATTTCTTTTCAACTCGATTTTTGCGTATTTTTTGCGTTTTTTTATTTGGATGACTGTCTTGTGTTTACTGTGTTTGGCACACACACACAACACCAGAGCTTGGGAGGTTAAGTTCGTTTCTTTTTGATCTTTTTCAACCTCAACATACACATTTATTATGTAAATTTATTTAATGTATTATTTAAATGTTGTAAATTTATAAGCGAAATAACGAATTTATTAATTAATTAACAATTTACCAACCGACCGACGCGAGCGAGAAATGAAAAAATAAATGAAAAACTGAATAACGAACAAAGAAACTGCGATACGGCAGCACTGAAACGAAAGACAGCATAGAAAAACAATCTGAATAAAGATGTGGAATCAAAACAGAAAGGCCCACAACATAAGTGATCCCTACATTGCAAAACGTTACCTAGCAGAAAAAGGTTTCTAAAAAATCGAAAAATTCCCCAAAGGGTTCTAGAAACACTACTTTCTCTAAGAAGGTATCTAGAAGATTGACTAAAATGGTCTAAAGGGGAACTAAAAGTTCAAAAAAAAAAAAAAAATTAATAAGTGATTTAAAATATCATTTTCGCAAAGAAAATTTAAACCACAAGCGAAGATTCTATGAAAACAAGATAGGCTAGCAAGTATAGAGGTCTACATGTTTGGCTTGTAATGCCAGAATTACTTTTAAAACAATCCACAAACCCAACAACTTGTAGCATTGATTTTAAATAAAAAATTGAAAACCGAATGAAAGGTCAACATTTCTTTTTAAAATCATGTTCGATATATCTCTAAGGGCTTATTTCGCTACAAAAACTGTAAAATTTGTCGATGCATACGTTGCAATAATCGAATTTGAATATTTTCTGAACAGTTTTTTTATTATTGAAAAGAATACACACGCAAAAACAAATAAAGTTGATATATTAAGGCAAGAAAATAATAAAATTGAAATTATATGATATCATAACCCTACCTTGATATTATTGTACCATGGATGCATTAACGCTTGGGAACATTGATATGTCTAATTTTTTTTCATAAATAAGCAGATTTTTATGTTTTTTCTTATACGCCGCCAATTGGAGTTTGTTATGAATGGTCTGTTTCAGAACTGCAAGAATGTAAACGTTTTGACTACGATAACCGATTTCCCTTTATGATATCGAAAACAATTGCAAAACTTATAGATTCTTCTAGGTTCTGGAACAGAGCAGATATGTATTTTTTAACAATTTCGCCGAATTTAAATAATTTTTCGATCGAAATTGGTTTGAAAAATGGTTAGAAGAATGGTAGAATTAAAATGGCAAAGTCTTGCAATGATATTGTCATTGTCATTACTGTCAAAATGTATATTCATTAATCCATTGTACATAGAGATGGGAACCTGTTTTCTATGCAGTGAAATTTGACAAGGTAAATTATAGAAAATGCAAAGATGGGAGTGATTATTTGAAATGACTTTACCTTCTGAATTTTACTATGGTCGGAGGCGTCACTTTTCCCTTTTATGTACTATGTGTAAGTTTGCAAATATATTCTAAACGTGTGGGTACATAAGCAGGGTGGCATCATGGCTAGGCGTATTAATGTCAAATTATAAGGAAAAACAACGTAAGGATTTGAATGTGTATCCCTTTATGACACGTCAATATGCCGTGCGAATAGGTAAAAGAGCATTTAAAATATCATATAAAGCATTCTTCCCTTGCTAATTCATTGTTTGTTTAACAATTTTAGAAAAGTGTTTTATTAATAATGTAAAGACGCATTCGAAACAACGAATTTCTCAAAATATTATGACTGACAGGTTTATAGCCTCGTTTGAACTATTTTGTAATACTTGCGTGTAAAAATAAGTATTATTTATCTATTTATATAATTTTTCCATTACTTTGCCATACACCCTCATTGAAGGCACACCCATTATCTACACTTGCCACCATTCATCCCTGTTAGCTCAGGGTTGCATTTTCAAGCAGTCGTTCGTTCACCACATTCGTTCAGATTTCGCCATACTTGTTTTCAGCTTGACGAAGAAAAATAATACATACAGAAAAACTCAAAAAAGAGCCACAAAAAAGATATTTGCTAGCGTTTATTAAATAAATTTATACAAAAAATTGTGGTAATTATCATTAAATTATTAAATAAATAACAACAAAATAATCCTGAGAGTGTGTGTAATTAAGTGCGTGTGAATTTAAGCAAAGAAATGTGCCAAAGAAACGCAATAAACCGATATGACAAAATGTCAAAGCAAAGAATGAACACACACAATACCTTTTTTCTCTATTCTCGAGAATTTTGATTGAAGAAAAAAAGGAGGATTTTCGAAATGGTTATTTCTTTGTGGAAAAGTGAAACGAAGAAAATGTGGTATTTGATTTAAACTTTTGAATGTTGGATTTTCCTGATTTGCAGCTTCACAAGGCCCAGGGAAATGTTTTATTTCTTCATTTTGTTGGTGGGGTTTTCTGTGTTTACACTCATGTCGCCCTCAAAGAGGTGTGTTTGCGTTGGGGTCTGTCTTCGTTGTGGCTGGCTAGCTACTTGCTTTGGTTTGGATGGCGGCGTTTCCCCACTTATACTCCATTCCGTGTGCGTGTGTATTTTTTATTGCGACATATTTCTCTGGTTTATGGCCTTTGTGAGTTTTAATAGCTTTTATATGATTTGTTTATATTTTTTCTGTGGTTTATTTTGTTTACCTTTTTGCCGTGGCGGCATTTTGAAAATACCAAACCAATGTTGGTTGGTGGCTAACTGATTTTTATGGTACTATGACGACGACTGGTAATGGTGTTGCTGTGCTACCCGTTAAGAACTAATTAAAAAAATAATGGGTTGTTATTTGTTGGCGCGTTTCCACAAAGGAAGTTGAATGGTAACATTGTTTTTATTGTTGTGTATTTGTGGATTGTAATTGGAAATTTAATTATATTTTAATCCCATTATTAGTTGATGGATAATGGAGGTGTTATCTGGGGGATCGTTATTGGAGTTTCAAGATTGACAAACAATATTTCGAAAATATAACAAACTGTTCTCAAGGTCCTTCAAAAGGGCGTGATACTTTGATAATCCAGGATTTCAAATGAATACAAATGACTTAATTATGGCCCCTGCACTATGGGTTTTTTTACGTTTATTTTGGCATAAACTCTAATTTCAAAGCTATTGAATTGAAATTTGGTTTGTATGCATTTTTTATGCTTCCAAGATGACCTACCAATTTTCATATGATTTGGGGCACTATTTCATATAGCTGCTATATAGCCGATCTGGCCGATTTGACCCAACTTTTTTGTTTATGAAGCTATTGAAGTGAAATTTGGTTTGTATTCATTTTTTAAGCCCCCCCCCCCCCCAAGATGACTTACGAATTTTCATATGATTTGGGGCACTATTTCTTATGTAGCTGCTACATAGCCGGTCTGGCCTATTTGACCCAACTTTTTTATTTATGAAGCTGTTGAAGTGAAATTTGATTTGTATTCATTTTTATGCCCCCAAGATGACCTACGAATTTTCATATGATTTGGGGCACTATTTCATGTAGCTGCTATATAGCCGATCTGGCCGATCGGCTATGATGATTTGGAGAAACATACTGCTCATTCATTACAATAATTATACTTTTGCTAAGCCATTTTGAATGTTTAGTTTTAAATCGCTCTAGTTTACGGATGCACTTTGGCAAATGCTTTTTTATATAATTAACAAAATCTTTCACTTGTTTTGATATCAAACGCATTTGGTCTTCATTTAAACTGATATTATTGATATTCTGTAACACATATTTCACAAGTGCCTCTTCTGAGCGATTGTTGCTTCTCCAAATTTCAATAAGCGCTGCATGGACAAACACATGTTTATCTGCAAAACACGTGTTGGCACAAAATAGAACAAAAAAGGCTAGTTACTCATTAATTAACACACTTTTGTTAATAACTTGGCATTTATACCTTTTTGCAATGCTTTGCCATTCACAAGTTACACTCCACGGAACACAACTACAATTTATAGATTTTATATAAAGCTATACATAAACGAAACAATTCACAGTATTACAACAACAGACAATTATGACAAAAAGGGCACCTCGTCTTAATTTTACATACCTGCACTAACGTTTTCCATAATTACACATTTTATTTTTTTCAATTTTGTCAAATCAGAAGCACTTGAACTTAGCTGATCTTTACCGCCAGTTGTACCAAAACAAAGTGACTTTCAAACAGCTGACTTTAAAAGATCGCCAGCAAAAAAGGGTTGCCACCCGTATTGATATTAAACATTTTTTTTTCTAATATGGGTATCTACATTTAGGAAATCAGTTAAATTTCAAAATATGAAACCAAAAAAAAAATGACTTTATGCCAAAAAATCATGCTTTTTACCCATAGTGCCCTGGACGAAATTGTAGCCCATTTTTCAATTATACCAAAAAGTCCTAACAAAGTTTCTTTAAGAACTACTACAGATTTGGGAAAATATCCAATAAGAAAGTAGATAGCCAGAAGTATACAGTACATTTTTTCCAATTGGATTAACTCTACATGAAAGTAAAGGGTCCTTGAAGGCTTAATATTTTTGTTAACCCGAAAAGGATTCTAAGGTTTGAATGGATGAAACTGAAAACAAAATTTCTGGCAATCTGGATAAAGATCTGTTTTAGCTAATCATCCTGAGCAAGTTGGAATTCAAATGTCTCTACGAGTATTAGACTGATCGGTTTAATGAGTAAATAACAAAATTGAGTGATTTAAACCGTGTGAAAATGAGAAGGAATTTGGGAAGAATCTGCTTCAGGCCCCCCTCGCGAAATTTTGGACTACACCCCTTCATTAGTTTTTCAAACCGGTGAAATAAATTTTTTGGCACTGTGAAGTCCTTGAGGTTTTGGTTTCAAAATATTTTCTTTTCTTGAGAAAGTAATTTTTGGAGATATGGACCTTAGCACATACCTACGCAACAAACTCTCTTCGTTCTGAAATGTTGGAATGTCCATTTATCTAAAATTTTGGAGCCTCTTAAGGCAAAAATTAAAGTTAAACTAGACTTCAGACACTACAATCAAGGACCTGGGAGCCTCTAATTGCAAAAATAAAGTTAAAGTAGACTTCAGGCACTCTGTCGTTGTCATATGCCCTCGGTCACCTGATGCAAACTACACGTTTTTTCATCTCTCCTCTAAAAAACAACGAATCTGTTAATTTCTTCAACCTCCACATAGCTCCATAGCTGACAGATTCCCATCGATTAATTGTTTGCTGTTCACTATTTATCTGGCCTTAGTCCCGTAATATCCTGACTATAATTTCCTTTTCTACCCTTAATTTTAATTTTTTATTATTAATCAAAAAACGACTCTAAAAAATATTTATAAATATATCATTTTGTCCTTTGCCACCGAAGAACTTTCTCTCGCTTTCTCTTCCGGTTAAACATTTCGAATTATTTAAAAAATATTTACTTTATCGAGGTCCTTCAAAAAGAGAAAGTTGGTTTCTCTTTTTAATTGTTTTTCATAATTATTATCAGCGACATAGCTATGACCACTTGAAAATCAAGGAGATGAAAGGATATGTTCTGTGTCCACACAAACGCGCGCCCGCTACATCTTTCCATCATGACAATTGTGTGACAAAAACAATCAAAACAAATGATATGGCACATTTGCCTAACGTAAACAAATCCTTAAGACTAGTGAAAAGAAACACAACAACAACAAAAAACACAAAGAAAATATCTTGGTTATGGCGGCAATTTGACCTTTAACAATAATCGAGATTAGTTTTGATAATCTTGGTGTGAAGAGATTTAAATAACTTGCCTGTCAGGTACACGCAATGACTTTTAAAAACAGTTGACTATTTTTGTTTTTATATTTATAGCTTTATTTAATCCACATTTTCGGTTAAAAATCATTACTTACTGGCCGATGACAGACCTGTTGTAGAGCCTTTTCTTTTGACGTTCATAAAATAACAGATTGTTGTATTAAGCTCTTTATATCACTGTTCTCTTGCACACACATACACACTATTTTTCTCTCTGTGTCAAATCTAAGGTAAATAGAGTGGGTGGCAAATAATACTAGATTTCCTTTGTACTTTCGCTCTCCCATGAAAATGATTGTTACGTTCTCAACACACACAATTTCTTTCTCTCTCTCTGCCTTAGTTTTGTCATTGTTTATTTGATGCTGGACGGTGTGTGTGTGCGTCGTGTCAAGCACTCAGCTGTTTGTTTTCTGTTCGATTGGTTGGATTTGGTTGTTTTGTGCAGTTCCTTTTTGGAGCAAAATTTGTCACCACAGTTTATATTCTTCCATTGACGGGATTGGACGTTTCATTAAAATTGACTCCTGCTGGCGGTGTGTGTGTGAAATATAAGGCGTGTGTGTGTATAAAGTGCGTGCCTTTGCTTAATTTTGTGCAAAACCTTTCTCATCCACAAATGAAATAAAACAACATTACTTTTATACAAAAAATATATATTATTGCAAGTTTATTTTAATAAAACATGTTTTTTCTCTACGTTTTTGTTTTTGTCTTTAAAAAAAATAATAATAATTTAGCCGTGTTTTGCTGTTGTCCAAATTTGCTTGTCTTGCCAACAGCAACATCATCATCGTTGTGGTGTGTGTGCTTAAGTGAACAACAGCACACAACATGGAGGATCCCAATCGCATGATGGCCCACACGGGCGGTATGATGGCGCCCCAGGGTTACGGTATGCCTGGCCAAGATGATGGCCAAAATCCCGGCAATGAAAATGAGGTACGCAAACAAAAGGATATCGGCGAAATTCTTCAACAAATCATGAGTATTTCCGAGCAATCATTAGACGAAGCCCAGGCAAGGAAACATACATTAAATTGTCATCGCATGAAACCGGCATTGTTTTCGGTCTTGTGTGAAATCAAAGAAAAAACCGGTAAGAGAAATGAAATAGATTTATTTTTTATTTAATTTAAGTTTGATTTGTTTTACTATTCAGATTAGAGATATGTAAAGGTTCCAATGTTAATTAGAGTGAAATTTAAGTAGTCAAGCTTTTGTCCAAGAAGACGGCATCAATGACGAGAATTTTCTAAAAAAACAAAAAGAGCCAAGGCTTTAAAATTGAAAACGTCTTTCCAATTAAAAGCTAGAATCACTTTTGAAACAGGACATTGAAAAATATATAAAGGTCTCACACAACAATCTAGAGAAATCAAGCAAAGAATCAAGATAATATGAAATCATACAAATTTAAGCATTATTAAAGCAAAAATACCAAGAGAAGGGATACAATGTTTCGGATAAAATCTTTCCTTTGTTTTCATAAAAACTCATTGCGAACACGAACGCAATTTTCGTTGTTGACGTGTGCTTCTGCAAAAAAGAAAAACCGACGGCGTGACGCAAATTCATCTTTTTTTAGATTTTTAGAGGACACAGAGAAGTTAAAATAGATAGAGTTTTAATGAGTTTTTGGAAAGCTCTTGAGGGAAAGAAGAGATTTTTTGGGGTTTAAAGAAGTTTTATTGGAGAAACAAAGGCGAAAAAATCCTATGCTTTTTATTATAATTTTTGGGACATCTTGTAAAAGAAGTAAAGAACATATAACTTATTAGGGAACGCTGAAAATTTGTAAAGGCTCTTTAATAGTAATTTTAAGGAACATAGAAAAGCAAGAAGCTCTAATTATAATTCTTCTAAAGAAAAGAAGGCATGTTATCAGTTCCAATTCAATTTTTTGAATAAGTTTTTCTAGAAGATTCATTAAAGATTTCTACGTGTTTAAGACCTTGCCAGGAGATTCTTGGACGAGCCACAGACGATTTTACAGAAGTTTAAAGAGGATGTTTTGAGAGAGGGTAGTAAAAAACGGAAATTTTCAAACATTCATGACACAGAGAATATTGAGGACACAGAGAATATTTTTAGGGGATCTGAGGACCACATTTTTGAAGACCCAGAGGACGAAACTCATTTTTTTAGAGGACCAATGGAAATTTTTTAGAGACTAAGACTATGTACAGAGTTCAAAGAAGGATAAATATTTGGTTTTGTCATAGAAGTTTTGGGACGTCTGGGGTTTTAAAGGATCCGAAGAAGTAAAAAAACATAGAATTTCAACATTCTACAGAGAAAAAGAAAGTAATTTTAGAGGACACAGAGAATATTTCTAGGCGATGTAAATGCAATTTTTAGAGGACCAAGGGAACGTAATTTAAATTTTAAAGAACATTTAAGTGATTAAGACTAAGAAGAGAACTGAAAGAAATATAAATATTTGGATTTTTCTTAGAGATTTTTAAACGGTCCACGGAAGAGGTAGATGTTTTAATGTACTCAAGAACGTAAAAGGGCGTGCATTTTCAAGATTGGTAGGGTATCTGAAAACGACTTTTCATAGCATACAGAGAAGTAGAAAGGTTATTATACCCTCCCCCATAGTATGGAGGGTATATTAAGGTTGTCATTCCGTTTGCAATTCCTCGAAATATACATTTTTGACCCCACAAAGTATACATATTCTTGATCTGCATAAAATTCTATGTCGATTTGAATTGGTAACCCCCGATATTCGGTATTTTGATGATTTAAGCGACATTATTCACAGGAATATTTTCAAATTTTGTATTTGAAGTTCGTAATAGATACTGCAGCCTATGACAGGAGATTGTCTGTACAGGTCCAAGTTATGGTATAGCCCCCATATAATGGTACCTTCCAATATTCGGCATTTTGATGACTTTAGCTACATTATTCACAGAATTTTTTATTTAAGTTTCGCATTTGAATATTGTAATGGCTTATGACAAAAGTTGCCTATACAGGCCCACGTCGTCGTATAGACCCTAAATAATGGCTACATTCGGTATTTCTGAGATTTTAACGAATTTTATTCTTTTGAAAGTTGCCAAATCAGTTCCAAATGGTGGGTATTCAAAGTTCGGCCCGGCTGAACTTACAGCTTTTTTTATTTGATCTAAAGACAAGTTTGTAAATGATCCAAAGAATACAAATTAATTTTTAAATTAATTTCTCTGAGGAGCAATAGACGACTTTTTGGGCGATAAAAAAATATTTTGGAAAATAAAGAATTTTTAGGGAATCTGCAGACTGTTTTAAAGGATCCATAGCAGGCTTTAGAGGACACTCAAAACGACAATGATTATGAATTTTCAAGAATTTTTAAGTTTCGCGATAAGATTTAATTTATATTTTAAGTTTTCGAATATTTGGCCTTTCAATGGTTCCAGATTGTCTTTTAATTGGCTATTCTTAGTTGAAGAGATGAAGTTTTAGTACAGCATGAATTGGACATTTTACATTAGAATCCCTTATCTTCTCTCTGAGACCTTGCGGTATTTCCTCTTTAGGTTCAGTGTTTGTACACCAAATTCCCTCGACGACTTCCACAAATAGTTAAACTCCCACTTCTCCAATTACCAGGTCTCTACGACTTTTTGGACGATTAAAAATATTTTGAGAAGCAACATTTTTTATTTTTTAAGAATATCTGTAGACTGTTTTAAAGGACTTTTAAAGGCAGGCACTCAAAACGACAATAGACATGAATTTTCAAGAACTTGTAAGGTTCACTGATAAGATTTTTAGAACAGCTAAAAATATATATTTTTAGTTTTCGAATATTTGGCATTTCAATGGTTGGAAATTGTCTTTATAATTGGCTATTCTTAGTTGAAATGATGAAGTTCCCATATCGAGAACTGTGTGAAATTTATAGCTATTTTATTACAGCATGAATTGGAGAGTTTTGGAATAGAATACCTTATCTTCTCTATGTGACCTTGCGGTATTTCCTCTTTAGGTTCAGTGTTTGTATACGAATTTTCCCTTGCACAAATAGTTGAACTCACACATCTCCAATTACCAGGTCTCTACGACTTTTTGGACTATTAAAAATATTTTGGGAAGGAATTTTTTTTATTTTTTTAAGGGTATCTGCAGACTGTTTTAAAGGATTTTTAAAGGCAGGCACTCAAAACGACAAAGAATATGAATTTTCAAGAAATTTTAATGTTCGCCGATAAGATTTTTAGAACAGCTAGAAATATATATTTTTTATATTTCGAATATTTGGCCTTTCAATGATTCCAGATAGTCCTTAAAATTTGCTATTCTTAGTTGAAGAGATGAAGTTTCCATACCGACAACTGTGTGAAATTTATAGCTATTTTATTATAGCATGAATTGGACATTTTAGAATAAAATCCCTTATCTTTTCTCTGTGACCTTGCGGTATTTCCTCTTTAGGTTCAGTGTTTGTATACCAAAATTTCCTCGACGACTTGCACAAATAGTTTAACTCACATTTCTCCAATTACTAGGTCTCTACGACTTTTTGGACGATTAAAAATATTTTGAGAAGTAACATTTTTTATTATTTTAAGGATATCTGCAGACTGATTTAAAGGACTTTTAAAGGCAGGCACTCAAAACATTTTTGCATTTTTAGAACAGAAAAAATATATATTATTTATTTTTCGAATATTTGTCCCTTCAATGGTTCCAGATTGTCCTTATAATTGGCTATTCTTAGTTGATATGATGAAGTTTCCATATTGAGAACTGTGTGAAATTTAAAGCTATTTTGGTACAGCATAAATTGGACATTTTAGAATAAAATCCCTTATCTTTTCTCTGTGACCTTGCGATACTTCCTCTTAGAGTTCAGTGTTTGTTTTAAAAAATACCCTCGACGACTTGCACAAATAGTTAAACTCACATTTCTCCAATTACCAGGTCTCTACAATATCATTAAAATAATATTTACTTTCAACAAATGATAAACATTAAAAAACAACTAGAATAAAAAATCCAATTAGTAGAAACATGATTAACATTCTCTCAGGGGCTACTGTATTGGGCCGCCATTATTACATGGCTTTAGATAACAAAAATAAAAAAAAACAACAAATAACACATTGGTAAAGAAATTTCAACCACTTTTATTGTTGTTTAGTGGGTGCGCTTTCATGTTTCGGTTTGTTTTTTTCATTTTCTTGTAGTACAACAAATTTATTAAATATTTGCCAAAAGATAAAAATTTTGTGTAATTATGTGTTGGCTTTCGGACAAATACACACTGTCAAGAATCAACAAGTTCTCCATATAAACAATGTATATTTCTTTATTCCAATTTCTTTCTATTTTTTTTTTGTTTTTGGCTTCATTTCAAAGGTGTTTACAAATTGATAAATGTTCCCTAAAATATCTTGTGTGTGTGTGGTGTTTTTTTGGTTTTGGTTGTACTTTTTGGCCGGTCTTTTTCAAGATTAATTGTTTGTTTATAAGTGGCGTTTTGTTTGCCTAGGCGGCAACAATGTTTGCTGCTGCCCCACAAATACTGTTGCTGCAGTTTCCACTTCTTATTTTTTCACTTTCATTTTGAATTAAATGCTTATTTGAAAATGTTTTTGTTCTATTTTTTTTTTTTTTTTTTTTTTTTTTTCTCAAATTAGCAGGTCTCACATATTATTGTGTTCAGTTTTCAAATGGGAGTGTTGTTCTTTTCTCTCTTAATAATGCATCGTATTTTACGCACATTATAATGTCTGTGTGAAAATTTATGCATTTAATCGTTGTAATTAATTACCATATTTTATCCAAGTTTATGAGCATTTCATGCGTTTTTTTGTTGTCCAAGCTCTCTGGTAAGCTGGTCAGTTTTAATCATCCTCTTGGGCAAGGCAAAAGCAACCCCAGAAGAAGGGGGCCAAACAAAAACAACTCACAGATATATTCAGTTAGCCAAGTCGTCGTCTCGATCGTCGTCATCGTCATCGTCATTCACAACTCAACTTTCTTGCCACCAGCAGACAAGCCAACAAACTAACAGCTCGCCCGGCCAACAACTGTATTCTAAACCGGCTTTTGATTAAATCGTGTTTAATTTTATTGTTGTTTTTCGTTCAAGCA